CTCATTCATTGTACGCGGCAATAGTATCAGATGTGTCAACTAAAGAAAATATTACGTGAGTTTTATATTACGTGAGTAAGCCAAGTTGAATTTTGAATATTCCTTACGTCTAGCGTAGCAATATCAACTGGGTCTCCGGCATTCTAAGCTTCGCCTGCAGGTATGCATGAACAACATGCGGCAGATATTTCCAGGAAGCCGCGCTCCTTTTAGGAGCGGTTTGTTCATTTTTGCAAGATTTGCATTGGGTAAGTCGGTGAGATAACGCAGTTCCAGTGACAATAGATAGAAACTGTAAAATCTGAATTGTTCGCGTGTAAAATAAGTCTTGGCTGGAAACGGAAGGTAAATTCTATTTGAAACATTTTGAATAAAATGAGTATCGCGTTGTGGGTATTTTCTTTTTCAAAGTCAAAGTTAAAATTTCTTTATTCAACATAGGCTTATTTTAAGCTCTTATTGAACGTCAAAAACTACCACCGGTTCACTTAACTAGACCGTTTCTAGGGACGTTTAGAAATGATCCTATGCTTACGTGCCCTTGCTACTTTTATATATATTTATATTACGTTATATGTATTATATTACTCTTATGCAACCCTTTTTCAAAATCCTGTAGTGTAAGTCTGTAAGTAGTTCCCTTGTACGCGTTATAATCGCATAAAACTAAAAACCATCACTCACACTATACGAGTATCGTACCTTGAGTTGCCGTTAATTGTCAAAGTATATAAATTGCTAACAATAATTTGCACGCCTCACTCGATGTCAATTTATAATGCTAACATGAGAATATTTATATATAAACATAAATTATTAACTGCTGGACACCATCTAAGATGCACGTAATTCCGTGGTTCTTTGAGTAACCAACATAAAGTGAATATTATAATAGAATTTATGTTAAATATTCTATGACGCAATTTACTTGCATGCCAATTTACTAAACCGTCCGTAGCATAATTACGAAGATAGATCTCATTACTCTGACATCTTTTCATTTTAAGTGCTAACTTATCACGTGCTCATTTAAGGAATCCATCGAGGTGCTCAGAAATAAATTCAAATTTCGTCAAGAAATCTTTCGAAGTATAACTTATACGTGTCAATCCATTAAAACATATTTTCGAAATAATATGTAATATTAACAGACGAGAGAGAGTGGTGTGTTGTACTTCGCCTCCGTACCCTCTGTATAGGGCCTTTGCCCAGGCCGTGTGTCATATATAAGCTGTTATTTACTTCACTGTTACATTGTTAATAACTAGATTGGTGCACGATACACCAAATTTAAAGACTTAACCAACAACGGAATGACTCCGTGGCGCAGTTGCCAAGGTATTGGCTTCGGCGTCGGTGTTCGTGGGTTCGATTCCCACAAGGGGTTGTCCCTTGTGGGAATCGAACCCTTATAATAAATATTTGTGTGACCGACAGATAGTTTCGCATCTGCGTTTGTCCGCGTGAAATTGATGTTTGTAAAACGTCCTTACAACACAGGATAATGTTTTCCTAAAGTAAGAGCTGTGTTTTTAAACAAAAAAATAATAAAAATAAAAACATTGATTTATTTTTTTCGTACAAAATATAATAAATAATATAATAAATAATATAATACGAAATATAATTCTCATGTCCATTGCATTCTACCCTCTTTTCTCTTTTTTTTACATCACTAGAGAATATGTGAACATTAATTTTTAAATGTGAATTTAATCTTCTTAAAGCTACTTTTCATTTTCAACTTGGAACATAAATAAATATGGATATTTTTTGTGTCCACGTAAGATTAGACACGCGCCGCTTAATATAATAAAGTAGTACCTGAAGGGCGTTTTTTTTTTGGGAAATCGTGTATTTTGGAAATAAAAAAAATAAAAAATAAGAAAGCAATGATCTGGTATAGAAAAAAGTAAAAAAAAAATAACTGTGTAAATGATCGTGACACGAACCGCTGCCTTCTGTTTCGGTGCCGCCCAATTACCGACCGAGCTATTATAACATTCTTTTTTCGGCGAAATTTACCGTCATATTTAAATGACATTTTTCATTCCCTAAAAACAGGGATCAAAGGACATTTTCTAAAAATGAAACCTAGATAGATCAATTTTTCGCTCCCGAATCTACGCACATAAATTATAAGTATTAGATCATCATCAATGAATACTTATTAATGAATCGAAAAACTTTTCTTAGTCATTGGAATCAAGGACAAAAACTATTTAAGTTTAATAGAAACAAACATAGAGGTGTCGTAGATAGATTCAGGTCACGGTGCGGTATAATCGTCGTGTACCAAATGGTAATATGACGTTTCGGCCTCATGGAATTATCACAATGCTTACCAACATACTGTTTCACTTACATCGAGGGCCAACAACCGCGATATGTGAAACGCGTATGAATGATCGATGCGACTGTATAAATCTACGCGCCGGTACAATGTTTTTTCCTTCCGAGAGTGGAAAGACAAGAAAACTTCGAAAGGCGGCCGCGCGGCGTGAACGCGGCCTATGTAGGGTAACCATGTGTGGCGACCGTTAAGAAGATCTCCGAGAAATGACGGACGGGTGGCAAAGATCTAGGTCGGAAACGTCGGAATATCTAAATAATCGGAACATATCTGCGGCACGTATCTGGTCTGAATTGATATAGAAAAAAAAAAAGACGCAAACTTGCTGATTAGCAAACAATTTCTCTACTTTATAAGTGAACTTTTAACTTTTACTGCGGTATGTAATTATTTTGACAGAATAAATAGTGCGATTGTTTTATTTCGACTGAAACTTTATCTGTTGACCAGTGCTTTTATCGTCATTGCGTAATAGTCCAATTAGAATTGAATTTTATATGCGATTCTCTTGTAAACATTTGCAATAAAAAGATTTTTATAAAAAAAACAAAGGCAGAAGCCGCAGCGAATTCTATGCGTAAGGCCTTACTGCTATTTCTAATGGTTATTTAAATATGTATCCTCTATTTAAAGAAGGAATGTACAGATAACAACTCCGAATGGTGAGCTTCGTGATCGCGATGTATACAATAACTTTCATCTTCCGTACCTTCATATAAAACCTTGTAATCAAATTTAAGTTTGCTGCACGAATAGAAGTCATGTGTTATATGCAATAAAGATGATCGAAAAGTGTATTAACGCACGAGCTAACTTTGTTGTTAAGTATTGAATGTACCGTTAAGTGAGGTTTAGAGAGGCGTTGTGCCCTGTACCTTTGTGTAAATTATAACCTTGAAGCAGGGCGTTGAACTTTTGCGGTGGCGTGGTAAGAACGGACGGACCATTGTATTCTATTAAATATAATAGAACTGCGTATGTTTATATCTAGCGACATAATTAGGCGAGAAAAAATAATAGATTTGAAAAATAGTCCTTAGTCTATAGTAATAAGGATTATATAATGAAATTACGTTGAAAAAATTGATGAATTGATTCTCATTTTGAAATTGACTACATAAAACAATTTTTTTTTCGTGTATTTGTTTAGTGCGATTCCTTTGACGAAGCAAAACTTGGACTCTTGGTAAATGATAGAACATCGTTTCATTATACAAAAAATTTAAAAGCAAAACGGCTTAAAGCTTTTGTCAGAGAACGAAACTCGAAACACTTTGACGTGAACGTTATCATACAAATAATTGTTGCTAACTTTACATTTAACTTTACAATCCGACTGTTTCCTCGCAATAGTTAGGAGAGCACCGATCCTTTATAGTGAGTTTCTATAGTTGTTAATGAAGCGAATCCGTAAAGCTCGCCAGATCAAAAAACTATTTCCAAACGGAATATTGTACGACCGAAAGGCAGTATTTTCAAATACCCTCTCTTAAATAGAAGTGATCCATTCGAGTAATAGGCTCCACTCGTTAACCATTCCTCGATTTACTTATTCATCAATAGAAATTCCTCATTCTTGACCGTATTCCGATGTGTTCGCATTGTTTTGCTTCTAGCTTACTTATTGTGTACGTAAATGCCCTGCGAAAATTTATAATTTTTTTTTTCAAATCATTTTTTCAAGCTTTTGCGAACGATAAATAGGTACCAAAAGATTTTCTTTAGCGAAATCGATGAACAAAATGTCCTTTGGCATTATCACGTTCGATGCCATATGTTTATACTTTAATATGATTATTTTTGATGTTTATTGCGCAAATGTATCTATCTATATATCTACATTTTCATGTATTGTACTGTTTCAAACGTCGTTGTTGTCTTTATGGTTAATACAAAACTAATAATTACCTGTTATAGGTACCGGCGGTTTTAAATTTCATTGTGTAACCTATCCTAGGATTATGTCTGTTTTGGTAGGACCCAAATTCAAGTGCAAATATCAGCATCGTTTACTAGTTGGGAAAATTTTGCACGTATTTAGAGTATTGTGTTTGAATACTTGTTTTTAATAACTCGGAAGAAAAAATTTATCAAATTGCAATCCAAAGATATCACCCAGTTTAGATTAAGTTGAAAGTTGTTTTACCATACCAATTTAATGATCGATCTAGGTTTTCTAGATTCAAACCGGCGCCTTCTGGTTTCGGGACCGCCCGATATTCCACCTAAATTATTGAACCTTGTAGATGGTGGCGAAATTTGCCTTCGTACTCTAATGATATTGTAGGACTATTTCATACTGTACTGCTACAGTCTACACAATATTATATGGGTGTCAGATAATAATTAAGAAACCATGAAGCTTTGAGAATGTAGATTTCATAAAATGTAGATTTTAATAAAGTGTTTGACGAAACCCTTAACAAACACGCGTTTCACAAGCAGCTACGCTATCGTAACATAAATTTATAAAGCGGTGGCGTAAATAATTGATATTAATTAAACCTAGCGTGTAGTGACACTGGAGCTTCCATCGCCTCGACGACGAGGGCGCGAACTGCCCGGGGGTGCCTGTGATGGATTAACGTGATCCGATTAGCGCGGGCTTATCGACCTTTCAATCCGATGCTTGCAGACATGCTACGAAATGGAGCGGTACCTCAGGGAGGAACCCCGGGGCAAGCGACGGGACCCTGCCCCTGAGGAGGAGTGGGCCAGGTCCCCGACCTGCTCCCCACCCTCGCCGCAATCACCCCCCTCGCCGAGGCTGTTCACAGTAACTGCGGTGAAGAGCGAGCCACCCAGCGACTCCGACGAGCCTAAAGGTTTGAAACTCACCTGCTTTCTTTTCATGTGCAACCTTCTCGACTGATTGAACGCGATTGGGCCGACTATGGTTTCGTAGTTATACCGGTCTATTCTACTTTACTGTTTCAATTATAAGCCGGCATGAGAATTACAAAGGAATGCTTTAATAACATTTAACATTATTTCTTCGTCAAATGGTTAGGCATAAATTTCAGTTATACGATTAAAATTATATTTTTTGTTTCTAATATTTACAAGATTAAATCTATCTAAAATTACATATTATCTAATAAACCTAATCCACGCGGCATGGTGCCAAGAACGCTAGCTGCATTTCCACGCTGAATAATTATGCTTAACCTTTGAGCCAGAAAAGAACCAGCTCTCTTGCCGCGGCGTTAAGCCTAGGACATAAACTTTTAAAAAAAATTTGATGTGCGGGGACCACACGGACCTAAAGTTTCAACAGCAAATGGAACAAGTACATAATCTAAACATAAAGACTCATATTTGCGCCATTATTTACTTCAGCTGCCTCCGATGCCGCCCCGGCCCTGACCGAAGTACCCCTTAGATAAATTATAAAAGTTGGTATACAAGCGAAAATTAAATGGCATATAACTTTTAGAGATATATTGGCTAAAGGTTGGCTCGAACAAATGCAAAAATAAATTACTGTTCAACAATTTATATCGATTAAAATCTACCACGAAATAAGCTTTAGTGTTCTTTATTTTAGTAGTCTCTAGAATAAATGGAATAAACCACAAGCAAACAGGTTCTTCTTATTCCATTCGTTCAAAACGACATAACAAAAAATATTAAGTCCAAAATAATTCTTATAAAACAGCAAACGGTTCGATCTAAATTTACAGACTGCAATTATTTTACTGCATTTTTATACAGAGTTGTTCACAGACATTGTCTAGCACTTCTTCGAATAGAATTTTTCAGTCCGTCAGCGCTCGGTACCGAGTCCGAGGAGGTACCAACGAACTCATTATATTCGTAATCGATATTGCACTTCAAATGAACGACCTTTCAGAGGACTGCGTTATCCTGCGAGCGTTAATATAAACGAAGATATCTCTTACATTTCAAGGCAACTATCATAAACTATGAAATTAGTAATGGTTCAATACAAGTAAAAATAGATAGTAAATGAAAATTATTGCGAACAAACAATATATATGTAATCCCTTTTGTGAAAAATAATGAAATAAACTTACAGGCAAAGTTATGATAAAATATCAAAACAATAAGCAATAGTGAAAGCAATGGCTAAAAGTTTCATGGTACTAATGCTTTCGACGATCGAATCAAGAGAACTATATTTTTATATATACTCTGGAGGTTGTTAGTTAGTAGACTACCCTTGCCTAAGTAAACCCGCAACTATCCCTTCCCACATGCTCTCATACGCGCACAGCCCACCCGACAACTAGCGCGAGTTTCAACCAGGAAATCCGCAGAATCAAATATGTTATGCGTCTCCTAGAGAATTTATAATGATCTCGCAGTCAGTGTTTATTTATGCAAAAAAATGTTTAAAAATTTCAACGTCTTAAGAATTAAAAATTATTTTCGATTATATTCATTTAAAAGCGAGCGTGATTTATCCTTGTCCGTTTTCACTTAATTATCGCTTGTTAGTTAAACCTTTTCCGTTTTCGATTTAACATACATCAATGGCAAACTTTTCAAATCCCGTAAAGCAAAGTTTATAGTAGCAGATGAAAACTTTGCACCCATGACAGCCGACAAATTCACACACAAAGGTACCAAGTTAGCTCAATAAAAGTGACACAACTCGGCGCTGCCTGATCCAGTTGGACGTATTGTTTATTTTCTATTTGTTCAACGTCGGAATTGGTCCGGCTAAATTTCTGCAGTGCTCGTATTTTATCGTTAAACTAGTGCATCGGAGCAAATCCATTGTGTAAATTCTCGAGGCGACCGTTTAAATATCGAGCATAGGGCAATTATATCGCGCGTTTAAAGTAATATTTATCAAATACTAAATCTTCATTTGATTATGAGACACAGCAACTCGGAACTGCTCGATGCGTGTTCCCTGAAGCTAACTGTCCCGAGCTACGGCCAAGAGAAAATAAAATAAGCCACAACTTATACCCGCACGCGCGTGTAGCGGCTGAATGTCTTCGAGGCTAAAGTAACCTTAGCTGGGCTAGTGCATTCACCAAGAGATCACGGCTTTCAGGGGCCAGTGGTTAGTAGGCATAACATCCCTCTACTTTCAAGGCTAAGTGAACTGGTGCCGCACTTACCAGGTGTGGAAGTGGCAGACGAGCCGCCGAGCCCGGCACCGGCGCGACGTCCGCCAGCACCACGGCTCCATCCGCAGCCGAACGCCCCGGATCCACGCCGCCGCGTCCACCGCTGCGAGTTCCCAGCCTGCGATAAAGTCTACACTAAGAGCTCGCATCTCAAAGCTCACAAGAGGACGCACACCGGTTCGTATTTCACTCGAACGCTAAGTTCCCTTCTCATTTTTGTGTTAGTTTCTTTCCTATTCCCTTGTGCGGGTGTTGCAGCGTATGTTGTCCAAAATCAGTTTGATGCCACTACATTGGTTGTCTTCAAAAAGGAAAAGTAATAATGTAGGACAAAAGTTATTATGAAGCAAACGGCAGAATACAGGCGAGCTTGAAGGCTGAAGGGCCTTTGTCCTAGAGGCTGAAATGATGATCATGAACTAATAACGGATGCTGTATGTATATGATAAAGTAATCCCAACTTTTGCAGACAAATCAATGTGCAAACTTCAGCTAATAAACGATATTAACAGTAAGTGACGTAACTCACGATATTCAGGTTTACACAACGTACCTATTTATAAAAATACCAAAATGGATCGCCTATGTTACCATACATAGGTTGTGAATAATTGTGAACACAGTTTGTTCAGCATTCAGTATTCAGCATATCGATCAGTTTCAAAAGCTTTAGACACGCCAAGTCGTTGTCTTTCAAACGTGTAAGGACGCAATCTGGTAATATAATTTCGACCCCATTTTGTGTTGCAGATATGTAAGTGCATTTTGAGTACAGCGAAGACCGATGTCCCGCATACAATGAAAACAAAACCATGGAAACTAGGCCTTGGTTTGATTGCAAACTAAGTAGTAGAATGCGCGATCCAGATTCAGATTCAGATATATATAGCACCCCACAGATCATGCTTGTGTGTATGGAAAATTGCGTGATAGCGCTACATTTTTCCAGTCATTAGTCAGTTTAAATTTATGGGTGAAATATTAAAATTCGTCGTGAACTCTGAGATCAACTCGATGCGGCCATCATGTGTGATTCAATTGTGCGTCATGCCATCGTGCATTAACTAATCGTGGAATCGGAAATTCAACGCATTGTGGTATCTCTCCCGGCACAAGGCTAAACGCACAGGTGAAATCATCGCTTGTTATTTTCAAACCGATTAAACACTAACCACTGTCCCTGCGAGTGTCATTTACGTCCGATTTAAATATTCTATTTATCTTTAGATTTGGTTACTGGATATAGAATTTTGACGTAAATATTACGGAGCTAATATTAAATACCGATCGCTAGTAACCAAATCTACAGATACTCGTACAAAGCAGCTATTCAACGTTAGGTTATTGTGTGACGTTTCAAAGCTTACACTACCCTCGTGGATCGTCGTTTAAGTAGAGTTACCTTACTGTCTGCTATTCAATTCATTCGTGAAAGTGCCGTTTGTATGGAATCACCTACGCACAAGTCGGCCGTCCAACTTTACATGGATTCCTTACATTAACGATCATAGCGAATATAACACATCGCCAAATAAAACTATTTTGGGGCTTTTATTACAACTTACATTATTCTGACAGAATAACTGTTGAAAACGTCTGGAGTGGTTTTATTTCCACATAGATGACGAACCAAACTAAGCGCGGCGTATTAGCATATCCTGTCCCACAGCGAGGCTTTGATTGACATGCCCCTTTTAATATTTCAATTGCAATTCGGAAGATTGCCGCGTCGCCATTTGCCGCGAAATTTAATAGATACTAATTTAAATAGTAAATTCTCTATAACAGTAAAAAAATATAAACTATCTATACAAGTATAGTTTACATTGGCTTTTACAAATAATGATCTAGGGAATCTTTATATCTATAATTCTTCTGTGCTGAGTATATATGGGACTGAAGTGCTCCTAAACGGCTGGGCCGCTTTTAATTAGTTTTTGTACGTGTTCATCCTTACTAATATTATAAAGGCAAAAGTTTGTACGTATGGTTTTTTATTCTTTCACGCAAATACTACTGAAAGGATTTTAATGAAACTTTACAATAATATAGCTTATTCATCAGAATAAGATATAGGCTATAATTTACATACATATTTTATGTATATCTGTCGCGAGCAGCAGCCAGTATAAAATACTTTAGAGATAATAAAATTTACTATTAGATATAATATAGTCGAGCAACCTGAGTTCGATCCCCGGTGCCGGCACCAATGAAGTTTTTAACTTTAAGTGCTGACTTATCACGTGCTCCGCGGTGAAGGAAAACATCGTGAGGAAACCTGCATATTGTCGAAATAATAACAAAAAAAAAATATATTTTGAAAATATGTGAAGTCCGCCAATCCGCAGGGGGGCCGCGTGGTTGACTATGACCTTATACCCTCTGTATAGAGGAGGCCTTTGCCCAGCAGTGGGACATGTATAGGCTGTTACTTCGACAATCAAAACGCACCTTCCTTATACACCGACCTTATCTACGATAGCTATCCATTAGTTAAAACGTTTTCAAAATCGGTTTGGTACTATCTGAAATTGCAATACATAGAAAAATAAACCATATACATAAACAATATAAATGTAAGTTTGGATTTACCCAATTATTCTGCATAACTTTCAATGTGTAATTGACAATCTACTGAAGAATCGCTCAGACCGTTGACAAGGGTATGGCTCCCGTAATCATTCAACTATACCTTCATTATTGTAACAAGTTTTGAAACGGTCGAAAATTTCTCCGCTAATGTAGTCATTCCTCATTGGTTTTTTTTTTAATTTATTATATTGTATTAATAAACAGAAAGACTCATATAATTATAAATGTTATGGATTGCATTTTGTTAAAAAAAAAATATGTCTACAGGTTAATAGTGTAAAGGTTAAATTGAAGATGTTCGGAGATATTCGTACCAATGACAATGTTCGTCATTGGAAAAGCGCAAGAAAATTCCTTGAAATATTATTGCAAGATATATAAGATGAACCATTTATACACATATACATACAGAACTACTTCATACTACTCATTAACACATTGTAATAATGGTGTCAATATTTTATTGTAAATCGAATTTTTCAAGACCGCAGGTTTAGTCCCAATTGGGCAATTTACAACGTGACTAACTACAATTATTTCTATTTCGTTTATACATTTAAATCTTTTGCATTATTGGACTAGTATTGTTCGATAATACTAGACTTGGAGCACGTTGTGCTTGAAAGTTCTAAAATCCGTTCTTATGCAAGAATTAAAAGGGGAAACGGAATCAAAACAATTTCCCAATGTGCTCCAGGCACGAGTTTTTAATGCAAGCGCTGCAGTCACTTCACATTTACAGTCGTTGGCGGTATAGCGCGTATCCGGTTAGCGGTGCTCTTTTCGCTGGGAATTAAAAAGTTGCCCTGCGGCCGAGCTAAAAATACCGCGAAATAAAAATATGATAGCCGGAGGATTTAGAAACGGCGCGTCTGTATTCGGGCGATAACACGTGTTAACGCTGCTCCGCACCGAAAAATGTATTTGCTCTTTATGAAATTCGTATTTTAATTATCCGCACTGCTGCACTGGGAACAATGCCGTTTGATGAAATTTTTCTGCCCATGGATCATTTTATCCATAAAATATTCTTTCTTTAATGTTAAAGTAAAATTACTATGTAGTAATATTAGCGAAATTCGTCATGATATGACATTATATGTGAAATATCCACACGACTAGGAAAAGAGGAAAAACTGAAAAGATGAAGCAATAGTGTATGTTACTTTTTAACTAAAGGTAAACCAGAAATTGTCTCGATTAAAAAAATAAACAAACAAATATAATTAATAATTATAAAGATAAAAAAATTCCCATTATATATATATATATATATATATCCAAGAATTGCTCGTTTAAAGGATAAGAAGATAGACCGACACAATACTTGAGTCTTGTTGTTAATGGTACTGGCTAGTAATTTCTTTTTTACTTTTTATGCTAGCCGCTTGCTTGACGTTAAAACCCTGCTTTGGAACAAACACCCAGATCCAGAAGAATTATTTATCTGTTGGTATCACACAAATACTCGTCCCGTGCGGAAATCTAACCCAGGATACCCGGTGGTGAAGCCTGTAGTTTATGAACTGCACTACCTAATCATCCGAGTTCTAAAGGGTATGAGTGAGCCTTGAGTTGCCGTTGTGGCATTAAGATGCTACCTCCAACAAGTTTCACATTCCAATATCACTCTGTTCGTGCTACGCTCATCTAGTTCCGCTGCTTTGCAGGCGAGAAGCCGTACAAGTGCTCGTGGGAGGGCTGCGAGTGGCGCTTCGCGCGTTCCGACGAACTGACCAGACACTACCGCAAGCACACCGGGGCCAAGCCGTTCCGTTGCCGCCACTGCGAGCGCTGCTTCTCCCGCTCCGATCACCTTGCGCTCCACGCCAAACGCCACGCGTAGCCGACGACGCCAGCCGCCAGCACCACGGTTCGACAGCGATCCAACTGATGTCCCATTAGGTGCGTTTAGCGGGGCGCGCGCCCCCTACATCCCCCTATCCCCATGCGCAATTTTATTATGTTCGCGGGCTGTTGTGATTTGTGGTCTTGCGGAATTGCTATTGCGTTCTCAGCGTTACATTCGCCCCCTGTACGACGCGCGCGCCCCTGCGGTGGAGTTGCGTGGTCCCCGAGCGTTGCAAGCCAAAGAATATCGCTACGCACAGTAGCCGAGTCAACACTCATTGCACCTAATGCTTTAAAGTTATATTTTAATTCCTTATGATTAATAATATTATTTTACTATTATTATTATATTTTTTGTATAAGTTTTATCGTCGAAAAATGTTTAATTTCTTTGGACGTTTCGGCCTCTACCGTTGCGGTTCTTTGTTGCATTATGAGAACATTTTATATTTGCCGTTGTTTATTGTGTAAAAGTTTTTGTAGGCTTTGTGTACAAAGAGGTTTTATTATGTGGCTCGGTCGCATAGCGGCCGCGCACAGTTGTGCCATCTTTGGCGGTTGGCGGGCGAGTGCGTTGAGCGCCGCGTGCGGCGTGTGTGCGAGCGTCACACTCCCGCGTCCCCCTGCCAAACTGCATTTCAAATCACGTGACATATTATTTATTGAATCGCGGGATGTTCGGCAGATAATCCCACCGACGCCCAGCACAACCCTAGTTTTAAGCTTAGTAGGATGTGCGTCGCGTTACCTGATGTTATGCCGGTGTTTTGGAACAGTTAATAGACCTGAACGCCAGTACATCGTGTCCCCCATCGGCTTGCAACAAATTGCTTTAAAATTGCGTGACCACGTTCATTGGCTGTTGCGAAATATCGGCAAAAGTTGTATGTTTATTTTTTACTATGTTTATGTTTAAGATGTTCATTATAAGCGATGTATTTACTTTAAGCTTTCTCTTTTACTTTTTCATTCCCATGTTGTAAGACCCGCTGTGTGATCCTTATGAATTGGTTTCTTACTTATCGCGAGCATCTGCTTTATTTTTTGGCACAGCAGGGCTTAAATTATATTACAGCCACGCCTTTACACACGTGGTTTTCTTAAGGAACTAAATATATTTTTTATCTTTATAATGATGTGTTTACATTCAAAAAAGAAATAAGTAAACGTTTTATATTTTCAGCACACGTACACAAGTGTGTAGAGGTGTTTGTATCGACAAGTTGATTCTGAAACACAGTCGCTATTTTATAGTCGAAATTTTCTAACCGCGTGTGAATCAAGTCGCAAATTTGCCCTCATTAACGCTAGGGATACTCTGCCTGTTATATTTTTACCACTAACGCATTTGTATAACGAGTTTTGCTATGAAAAATTCTATTAATATGTTTAATTTAAAACTTTTAAATTACATGCAAATTCGAATTACACATCAGAACTACTTTCACATCACATAGATTACCTTAGTTTACCTTATTACTGACGAGACATATTTCCGATCCAGTCGACATCTATGAGAAGTTCAATAAAATCCATTTTTTGTGTAAAACATAAGTAGTTAGTTCAAATTTATCTAATGTCACAATATTTTCACTCCAAAATAAAGATGGCGGAACTAGAGTGTACAGGGTGTTGTGGTAATAAATATAGTGTTTTCTACACGCTCAACATTTACTATAGAAATTTTCGATATTAACAAATACATAACTATCCACCGAATAGTCTTTTTGATGCGTTTTATGTAATTAATAATACATAAGTACAACGACTGCTAAATTTTTACTGCCATAATATATATAATACATTTTTAGGGCACAATGATGCGTTTTTGTTTCTAATGATCAATTTTGTGGAGATTTTTGATTGATAGACAGGCAAGGTTCGCAATGTGACACTTCCCGGGGGCCAAATATGCAGTCGTCTCTTTGATTCTATTTTCTCTCCAGGAAATACTTCGGGTAGTATATAGAATCGAAAATTCCCAAGATATTATTTCTTACTTTAACTGACTTATTGCGCAACAACGTAGGCTTATTGGAACACCAAAATGCCAAAAAAACCACCGGACACTAACCCGTACTTACCTATAATTATTTTAAGAACAAGATACTACATTGTCATGCAATTTTCAGAGTAGCTGATACTTAACGGTCGATACATGACAAAGATTGCATCAATGAACATCAAATTATAATTGTTCAATACTGTTCGCTAAAGTATCAATAGGAGGGAACATATAACAATACCATATATAGAGCTGAAATCAAAATATTCAAAGATAGAAGCACTGACCACACATAACAGATAATACGCTATGATAAATTATTGTTTTTTTTAAATGCACGTAGTTTATTATCTGTGGCTATAGTAGTGTCAAAAATATAAAAATATCTATAACATAGGACTTAATCTATCTTTGTCACAAATCGGCGATTGTACATGTCAAGACAAGACAAACTGTTAAAAAAATATAATTTATTAAACAATACATAAATATTTATCATAGTAAACTAATTAGTGTAATCGGTGTTTAAATGAGGTAATAATTTGAATATTCTTAAATCGAATTTAGTGGAAAAATATTAAAAAATTCTCAATTGTCTTAATATTGTGGTGTCATTATTGAAAATTTGATAACTCCTTTTTTATATCCTTTAACAAGCCTAAATCTCTGTGTGAATGTATCGAATAATGTATAAAATCATAATTTTAAGGAAATATTTAAAAATGTGATTCATAAGTTTATCCAGTGTGTAGAAATTTACATGTTATAGATATAATGTGTTTTAAAGAACGAATGAATTTTCGTGTATGAATATTAATGTGTTAGAGGAATATTAAATATAGATGTTATTAGGTAACCTTGATGTATTTAATATCGTGCACAAGAGTTGGCGACTACTGTCTGCATGTTAGTAAACGTTTAGTTAACATAAATATATTATTAAAAATTGGCCCTTAAAAACTAGAAAAATTTGATGTAAAAGTTGCGGCTGTGTAAAGAAGAATCAACCTGTTTGTAGGTTTGTGCATGAGCCTACCGAACTGGAGAAGCAGATGTCATTTTGAGCCTATGAGAAAGATTAGCTTTGTTATTAAAAATTATCTTAGCCCTGATTTTTAAAGGGCGTGTGTTATTACGTCTTTAGGTTTAGACTAATGACTACTTCAGCTCTCTGTCATTATTTTAGCTTTTAATATATGCAGTTATTTCTCATCTTTGCAAAATGTTTATTTTCACATTGCATTTTTTTTAATTTATATAAATATTGAATAATTGTGTGTACTTGCCAGGGGCATATCTATTGTTATTTATACAATTATAAAAAATACAGACATTTAAAAAAGTTAAGAAACCTATTTGTTTCTTTATTGGATTATAACAACTTTATCATTCTTTGCTTTTTATGCACAAAAATGTATAAATATTTATATTGCAAGGTGCATTCAAAATGTTGTTTCTTATTGGTTTTTAAATTAACACTATTTTGAAAATGTTTAAGGAGCAAACTACAATTAAGGTTATATATTTAATGTTTATTTGAAATATAACTAATATTTGATGGCATAAATTATTCAGTGATGTTTAGCCTATAGAAATTAAAATAAAAACATAATGGAAGTTTTGTTAATAATAAGTGCTATTATATTGTAATCATAATATGATTGATCAAAATCCCACATTTTAAAATGCATTATTTCTGTAATAGCATAAAAATCTACTACATAAATTTAATGCTAGCTTAGTTCTTGTAAATTGTATTGTTTAATTAAGTGAACTTAATACTTGTAATTGTTATATTCTTATATTCAGAGTCAAGCTGATCAAATTTTATTTACTTTTAACATCTTGATGACATGCACTTTAATTGCATTTCTTTATACTTTTGTGCTATGAGAATAAATTAGATATTATAATGAGAATAAAATAATATTATTATTGTATTGTAACATTTAACAATACATTCCAGTGTGCTTTGTTCGGTAGGTTTATGCTATTAGAAAAATCTTGATGGTAGATGTTTAAACAATTGGCTGTATTGGAGGTTATGTGGCAGACACATCTAATGCCTGCGCGCCTGTGTAAATTTTAACTTATCTTAATATCACTCTTATAATTATAATATAGATGACTACATAAGTAGTGTGTTAGTAATGATTGTATGCATTCAGCCAAATCATAAACATCATTACTGCAGTGTAATACTTTAGTGTGATTTGTAATAGGGTAATATATGTCTACAGCGTTTAATTTCATGTTAGAAGAGGTAAGAACCTTTAATATATATTTAATCTCTACTATACAAATTTTCCCAAAAAAATCATCCATAAAATATTATAAAGTATGTCTGTGATTACTATTCTTGTTATAACAACACTTGGATTAAAATGAAGGTATAATTTTTAAACATTTTATCCCTTTTTGAAAACTAAGTACTGATTGATCTTTATGTAAGTCTTGTATACTAATGGTATTATAAAATATATGTGAAGTCTGTAAAATCATTTTTGATTAGTCTGAACTCAATTAGTTTAAATAAATGGGTAAGATATTATAATATGGTGTTGCATAAATTCAGCGTTTATTGTTCTTTCCTCGCTAATAATTGAAATTTTGATTTATTAAGAAGTTGTAATAATTGACATATTGAATACTGCAATCTGTAAACATTTATGACATTTATGTGCTAATTATGCAATGCTAAATATGTTTGTTGATACTAACATCTTGAAAGTTTGGCAAAAGATGCCTGGCTGCCAATAGGGTAAATATTTCTGCTTGCAAATATAAAATAACGATGTTTTAAACTAAATGGGGATTTGTTAAAATCAATTTTGACTCCTACTCTTGCACTTTTGAAATTGAAAAAAAAACTACTGAACTAAAATTTATAAGTTATATAAATAATTATTTATTGTTAATTGATGTTGCATTATAGCTGTATTAGTGTAATTCAATTTACTAAATTAACATTGATATAATTATGTATTGGTGAAATTCATGTTAAATCCCCTAGTTTAATATTATGTCTCATAGAATAAAAAAAGTTTAAAAGTGGCTTCTCATAATTCTTCTTACCAGCTGTACTAATCGATGTACATACCTGATACATTTGAGAAGCTACTAATCATATTATAATAACATGTAATAATAAATTATATTATGTTTATATTCTCAAATCTAGTTTCTGATGTAAATCTGGTGGATGTGTATGATTAAGTGTGACCCACAGCGGAGGGTCGAATTATGTAGCATATTGCATTTTATATTAATAAAT